CCTCTGCCTTCGGTTCAGGTCATGATCCCAGGGTCCTGGGATCGAGCCCCACATCGGGCTCTCTGCTCAGCAGGGAGCCTGCTTCCTCCTCTCTCTCTCTCTGCCTGCCTCTCTGCCTGCTTGTGATCTCTGTCTGTCAAATAAATAAATAAAATCTTAAAAAAAAAAGAAATGTTAAGTCATAGTTCTCAACATGTCTTACTTTGTCACAGCTTTATACCCTCCCACATATTGGTCCCTCTGCCTAAAACACCCTTCCTCTTCTCTGCTTTTGCACATTCATTCTTCAGGTCTGAACTGAAGCATCATCCCTTTCTTCTGTCCTCAAACTGTTAAACTATAGTCATATAACATACCTCTGTTGCACTTAACACTTTTATCATTGTTTGTTCCCTTGTCTGTCCTCTAATAGATTATATATTCATTTTTTTAAGATTTTTTTTTTTTTGTCAGAGTGCACAAGCAGGGGGAGTGGCAAGCAGGGGGAGAAGTGGGCTCCCCACTGAGCAAGGAGCCTGACGGGGGACTCAGTCTCAGGATCCTGGGATCATGACCTGAGCCGAAAGCAGATGTCTAGCTAACTGAGCCACCCAGGTGTCCCTAGATTCTATATTCCTTAAAGACAGAGGTTATCATGTCCAACTCTATTCCCCTAGCATCTGGTATACAGTAGATGTACAACACATATCAAACTTCTCTTGCTTCTGTGGAATATTGAGCATATTAGACCCAGAGAAATGCTCTAGTAGCAACTTTGCACTCCTCCTGCATTCTCAGAATTTTCATGTGGCTTTAAGTATATTTATTTTTACAAAAAGTAATTATTTTTGAATTAAGAGGACAAAATAGGTCAGTAATAAATAAGGCACCCTCATTCAATACCATGTATTTTTCTTGCCACTGTCTAACTATTTGGCTTGTGTAAGTTGTATTTCCTGAGGACTTCAGTTTGCATTTCTATAATTGTCTCTGCATAATATTTACAGTAGCCTTCTGTTGGCCTTTCCCTTCTCTAATAACTCTTATACAGTCATTGTGTCCTCTGACTAAAATACCATTTCTCTCCCTACCCCCAAAATAATATTGTTTTATACTGAGGCATACTAAATGGATAGTTTTGTTACATGTAGTGGAGCTTGTCATATGTAACCTTTAACCTGTAATAATTGAAGCACAGTTATTAACTGTTATGTGTGAAATGAAACCAGTTGGCATATAAACAGTGGTGGGTCATTCCATCATTATTTGTCTTTACTTTATGAAAAAAGTAAGTGTAAATTACTTTAAAATATTAGTTCCCTGCAATCTGTGATTATTCTGTAATAAACATAGGATTTTGAAATAATCAGGTTAACTAACCCTTTTCATTACCTGAGTCCTAATAACCCTTCCTCATTTTTTTTTTCCAGTTGGATATTTACTGGCATCTCTCAGTCTATCTTCAAAACAGAATTCACATCCTCTCAACCCCCAGGCTGCTCCAAGGAACAGCAGGCAGGACAGTGGCTGGAAGGGAGAGTGGGATGAAAGATCAGAGAGGTCCCTGAAGGCCAGGACCATCCAGAGTGTTCTTGATCTGCCACTGACTGTGGATTTTATTCTGTATTCATTAAGTGCGCCCTTTGGGAAATAAACCTTTTCATTTGTGTTAGGGTACATTCATTCTTTCAGGACATAGTTTCCCTCAGATGTAATGGAGAAGGGAATTAAAGTGAAACTTTAATATATTCCCCCCCCATCACCAAGTACCTAATCTAATAGTCATAGGATAATTTAATAATATTTGGTCTAGTATGTATTATGGTTTCTTTGGGCCTATTTCAACATCATTATGGAAAAGCATCACATTAGAAGCTATTCTTTTAAATCCAAATTATTTTAAAAATAAGATAAGTTCTATTTTCTTTTCCTTGATTTTTTCTTTCCCTTTGGAGGGACAGTTGACTATTTTATTATTTTATTTGCAGTTTCTGCTGTCGTCATTTCTAGTCAGGGCATTTCAGATTTAGAATTGTCATCTAATTGGAGGCAGGTATCAATATGTAATAGAGGATAAATTTCTGTACCAGTTTTGCTGATTTTAACAGTACACAGTGTGTAAGAAAACTTTTGGGGATGCTCTCATTTGGTGTGTGTAGTAATCAGAAATTATGTCATTTAAATAAGGATCAACTTCAGCTTCTAGAGAAGGGAGACTGCTATTTTAGGGTGCAGATCTGTTAAATGTTGTAGGACCTAAATTTTTATTAGAAAAGTCTCTGAATAAGTGTCTTAATTTTTATAAAGTAACTGACATGGTGACAAATTCAAGAATGGAAAAAGTTGGCGAAGGTTACATAAATAGTAAAAGTCAAATTTTATTATTTTATTCAAAATAATATTATTTTGAAAATATTATTTTGATATTTTAATATTTAATATTTTGAAGTGCTTCAGAATTTCCATTTATTTTATGATTCTCTATTATTACTCCTTAGCCATATTTTCATCTACTTTGATGTGCAGTAGTCTAGATAAAATAAAACTATTAATGAAAATATTTAAGGAGATATTTAAAAATCCAAATAATTACTGGGTTTGAATAATAGGAAAAAACTCAAAAAGCGCACCAGTCTTTGATGTGCACTCTGTAGTTCATTTAGCACCGTAATAATTCAAAATACATTCATTTTCAGCTATTTTGCATATGCTCTGCAAAACTATATGCAAAATCATATTCCTATTTCATTCTTTGCAGTATGGCCTCTTATGGACATTTATAATGTGTGCTCAGAATGGAAGTGCAGGCATAAGTATCGTTGTCTGAAAGCAGAATTCCTCCTAGAATATTTTATCTTCTGGGTTATTCCAGTGTGTTTAGTTTTAAAGACTAGGGAGGAAGAGGAAGTTGACTTTTAAAATTTCCAGTTCTGTTGCTTGTTGGCCTTCACTATGAAGACTGGATATTCCTACTCTTAAATGTTCTCAAACTAGCAACTATTATATGAGTAATTAAGTTACCTAGTCAGATGACGTTTTTCTTTGTACTAACATTTTATATTTCCTGGGTAGAAAAATGAAATAATGGTATCAGGTTTCTATTGAGATAGTTCTGTAAATAGTTAATTAATGAATAAAAATCCTAGAACTAATACAACACAAATGAATTATAAAAACCAAATCTCTTTAAGAGTCAAATTGTGATTTGGGGAATTGATGGATATATTTTCCATTTGTCAAGAGAATTCCCTGATTTATATATACATGCTTTGAGTAGTGAAATTAAGAAAGGAGAATTACCAGTTTACATTAGAGATATTGATAAGCTGTGTTCCTTTGTAGTATTAAGCTTAAGAAAATTATTTCTGTTAAGTGATTAAATGGTATATGATCTGATTTTCCATATCTTTAGAACTAAGTTGTTGGATTTTTTTTTTTTTTTTAAGATTTTATTCATTTGTCAGAGAGAAAGAGAAGGAGAGAGCACACAAGCAGGGGGAGTGGCAGGTAGAGGGCCCTGGGATCATGACCTGAGCCAATTTGACTGACCGAGCCACCCAGTTCAGATTGATTTTGTGACGCTGTTTTACTGTTTCTGCAGAATTTTATATAGTAAAATAAGGTTTAACATTTAGCTTCATGACATCCCATTAGATAATTAAATTCCTCACATAGCTCATAACCACATTTTAAGGATCACAATTACTTCTGTGGATTGTTGCTTTGAGGTATAATATGTGTACGAATTCTTATTTGAGATTAAGGATATCTTTAATCTCGGAGGAATTCTTTAAACAAATAGGTAGTATTTCAAATAGTGCCTAGATCCACTGGAACAAAATTTGTATTTCAGAAATGTGAGTCAAAAATGGAATGTAGAATGGTAATATTCATTGTATCCCTAGGAAAGATAATAGATATTATTCCAAGTTGAAGGGAAAGGATTTGTGGTCAAATTAATCTGGAATATCTTGGTTTAAGCAAATGCAGGCTTTACTAAAGATTTCTCAGAGAGAGACAAACCAAGAAACAGACTCTTAGCTATAGAGAACAAACTGATAGTTATCAGAGGGGAGGTTGGTGAAGGGATGGGTGAAGTAAGTGATGGGGATTGAGGAGTGCCCTTGTGATGAGCACTGAGTAATGTATGGAATGGTTGAATCACGACATTGTATTTCTGAAACTAATATAATACTGTATGTTAACTATATTGGAATTTTTAAAAAAGGTTCTCAGCGCCTTTAATATTGAAATATTTTATATTAATCAGATTAATCTTTAAGAACTTTAAGTATCTGGTCAGTCATTGATCCTATTTTGTATTGTGTAATCTTTTCTTCCCTTCACAAAACAATATGCAGATTCCATGTCAGATACCACATAATTAATGAGAAGAGAGAAAATTGTCTCTTCTTTTCAAGACTTACACTTGAAGAGTAATTACATACAGGAAATTTTAGTTCTGGTTCCTTGGATTTTGTCAGAACTGATGAGAAAGTAAGGTAGAAAGAACGCTATGAGAGGAGGAACTAATTCAACAGACTAAAGTAGATTAACAATTTTGTCTTTTCTCTGAAGTGATTCTCGAACTGAGGTTTTGCAAGATACATACTTACTTGTATTAGATTGTTGCAGAATAAGTGAGATAATAATGTGCTGGATTGAAGTCTTAAAATTATTTCTCTGTGGGTTTTGGGGTGTTAAGAAACTGCACTACCATAATATTCCTCCGGTTATTGGGAGGGCTCTGCAATTTTAAAATTATTGTCACCTGTGATTCTAGTTGTAATCTGGTACAATCTTTTCTTTCACAATTGCCTAAAAATTTGAGACATAGTTACTCATTCCTACTTGCTTGTCAACCCTGTCTCCATTAATGACTTCTAATTTCCTTGTATAATATAATCTCTGGTTTGGAAGATTTGACTCCAGAGAGTTACAATTTATATCAGAGCATGTGCTGCATAATTTTTCAAGTTTAACCTGTTAAACTTCATTCTGCCTAAATGTCTGTATTTCAGATGGATCAGCTATCCGATGAAGAAATTGACCATGGAGCTGAAGAAGACAGTGATAAGGAAGATCAGGACCTGGACAAAATGTTTGGAGCCTGGCTAGGGGAGCTGGACAAACTCACTCAGGTTAGAAATAGTGCTTGAAAAATTGTTCAAGGATTTCAAGCCATCACTGTGTGCTAAAAATTTACTGTGTAGACATAGGGATATGGACATAGGTTCCATTTTTAAATACTGCTAAAGGGAAAATGTCCAAACCTTTAACAAGTAAATAAATGTTAACTCTAGAACACGAAGTATTATATGGTTATTTAGAGAGTCTCAAAACAAAACAAAACAAACTTAAGACAGAGGTTCTGTTCCTCTGGAGGGATTATTTAAAATCTGTTTGGTAAACTGAGATTGCTGGCTAAAAAGGTTTAAAACCCAAAATCTAAAAGTCTAAATTTTAGCGACTCTTATTTCATAACTTAATATATGTGAATATTTACTACATTTTACATTTTATGATGTTAAGTAATAGCCTCACATGCAAGTATTTTCTATAATTCTAGAATATTGAGAAAATTTCATTTCTGGCTGCATTTTAAAACCATGGCAAAGCTTTTTCATCCTGTTTCACTGGATCTTGTGTTTTTAAGAAAGGTAGAATAGTAGCTCTATGCTATTTCACTGCAGATGGCTTTTCTGCTGGTTTGGTACTTTTATTCTTCCCAGTATTTTAAATTCCTTGCCATATAATGTGAAGAGCCACTCACCAAAAAAGTTGGCTTGTAAACTAATACTGTGACTATTTTGGTTTTTTTTTTTGTTTTTTTTTTTTGTATGAATCTGTCTTTAGAAACAAAACATATTAACCACTGGGTAATGGTGGCTCTCTGCTAACAAGTTGCTTTTTACACTTAAGATGTTTCCAAAAAATGTTTTATGTACTTTATTAGTGGCTAATAAAGTTTGTTTCATTATTTTTGTTTACTACAAAGTGTCATCTGTGCACCCACTCATATTACATATACCTTGTTAATGGAATTTTCAGCTTTATATTATATCAAGTTTATGTTTTAAGTGGTTAATGAATCTTTTAAAATCGTTTGTAAAGTTTTTGTGTGTTTGCATTTTCTTGCAAGAAGGTTCAGAGCTTTTACCAAATTCTCATGATACTCACCCCACACTCTTTACCCCCCCCCCCCACCCCCCCCCCCCCCCCCCCGCACACAAAAAGTTTAAAAACCACCTACTAGGTTACCATTTCTTGGTGTCAAGGAGTATTTCTTTTGTTCTCCCAGCACTGTGGTCACAGCAGGTAATTTTAACAAGTATGTTTATTTGAACTGGTAAATAGACTGAATCTTAATATGTCCTCAATTATATTCAAGTTATTTAACAGAAAATATTAAACCTACCTATTATTTTTCATTTCTACTGGGAGAAGCATCGGGACTTAAATTGCAGCAGAAGAACAGGGTTTGAGGTTGAAGAATTTCCTATTTTGTGAAACATTGAAATAAGGCAGTGAATGATTGTGGATCCTCTTCATATGATAGCTTTGAAAACTGGTTGGACACTGAATGGATTCCTTTTATCTTGAGATAAATGAATAAAGAAGGCACAAATATAATTTAATTCCATGATTCTACAGACTGTCTAGCATTCTTTTTTATTTGAAATCTATTCAATAATGATAAATAGAAGTTAAAGTTTTAAAAGGCTGTTCTTAGTATTTGCAAATTTATTTAAATATACGCTAACTGCTGACCTTTTTCCTGCATTTCTCTGTTATAAGCAGCTCATATTCTTTATTATAGATAGGAAGAGGAAAAGTGTCATTTAAAAAGGTGGCGAGATAACTTACAAGATACTCTCTCCTGAAGTACAGTATAATTCTAGACTTACCATAGGCAGTATCATAGCTGGGTTACAGTTTGTGCTCATCTTAATAGAGCTTGAGAAGAACAAGGATATTCCATCATTGTCTGAAGTTGTAGCCACTCTGTTAAGATCTTGGGTCTTGGGACTTCCAGGGAAGACCGGAGAGTAGGAAGATTCTTACCTCACATTGTATCTCATGAATACAACTAGATAACCTAAACCTCAGTATAATGACCCAGAAAATGACCTAAAGACTAGAAGAACAAACTTTCCACAGCTAAATGTCGAGAAGGAAGAAGGGCAAAGACATGAGGGAAGGGTGTCTTGGGCATACAGAGGAGAGAGGAACAGACTCGGACAAGGGAGCCAGCATGGGGAAGATGTGTCCCCCTAACATTTGGCTTTGAAAACTAGCCGGACCAAATTTTCCTTATCTTCTTACAATCAGTGAGACTCAATACCTGGAACTTTAAAAATCAGTGGGGTTGGAACTGGACACAGTCACAGCAAGAGAACTAAATAAAACAGAGGTAATAGTATGCCCAATAGACAATTTAAAGTAATGGTCATAGAGATACTCAGTGGACTTAAGAAAAGAATGGAGGATCTCAGTGAGACCCTCAACAAAGAGGTAGAAAAATAAAAACCAATCAGAGATGAAGAATCCAGTAACTGAAATTTAAGATACAGTAGATGGAGTAAATAGTAGAACTAGAAGCAGTACAACAGATCAGTGACATGGAGGACAGAATAATGGAAATCAATCAAGCTGAATAGAAGAGAGACAAAAATAATAAAAAATGAAAATAGACTTTGGGAACTCAGTGACACCATCAGATGTAATAACATTTGCATTTTAGGGATCCCAGAAGAAGAGAAAGGGGCAGAAAACTTACTTGAAGAAATAGTAGCTGAAAAACTTCTCAAATCTGGGGAAGGAAACAAGAATCCAGATCCAGAGGCACAAAAAGCCCCCAACAAAATCAATCCAGGGAGGTCCACACCAAGATACATAGGACTTAAAATGGCCAAAAGTAGTGATAAAGACAATTTTAAAAGCAGCAAGAGAAAAGAGTTGCAAGCAAGGGAAACCCCATAAGGCTGTCAGCTGATTTTTCAGCGGAAACTTCGTAGGCCAGAAGGGAATAGCTTGATATGTTCAGAGTGCTGAAAGGAAAAAAACGTGCAACTGAGAATATTCTGTCCAGCAAGGCTGTTGTTCTGAATAAGAGAGAGTTGCCCAAACGAAATTTAAAGGAATTCATGACCATTAAGCAGGTCTATGAGAAAAACTAAAGGGGACCCTTTGAGTGGAAAACCATAAATAGGAATAAGGAAAGTAGGAAGCACAAAAGCAGTAAAATAAGTATATTTCTAAAAATCAGTCAAGGGACTCACAAAATAAAAGGATGTAAAGTATGATACCATATACCTAAATTGTGAGGGGCAGAGGAGTAAAGAATGGGTTTAAACTTAAATGACCATCAACTTGTTATAGACTATTATGTGCAGATGTTATATACAAACCTAATACACAAATCAAAAACCAGTAATAGGCAAAGAATAAAGAGAAAAGGATCTGGGACACCTGGGTGGCTCAGTTGATTCAGCATCTGCCATCAGCTCAGGTCATGATCCCGGGGTCCTCGGATCAAGCTCCCCATCAGGCTCCCTCTCCCTCTACCTGCAGCTCCCCTACTTGTGTTCTTTCTCTCCTCTCTGTCAAATAAATAAGTAAAATCTTTAAAAAAAAAAAAAGAGAGAGAGAAAGGGATCCAAGTAATCATTAAAGAAAGCCAAAAACAAACAAACAAACCACCAAAAAACTGACTCCAAACTATATAAAACAAATTGATGGTTAACAGAGGGGAGGGGGAATGGTATAATGAGCACTAAGTAACATATAGAATTGTGGAATCACTGTATTGTACACCTGAAACTAATATAGTAGTGTAGGTTAACTAGAATTAAGATGAAAAAAATTTTTAATAAAAATAAATATGTAAATACAAAGGAAAAACTGATCTTGGACCTCACTCATTTTGAATTCAGAATTGTGCCTTATCTTCAGGGTACTTCATGCCAAGAATGAGACTGACCAAAATCAAATCCTCTTGAGGAAAAAGATAACAGAATTCTCTGCATTGGGGCGCCTGGGTGGCTCAGTGGGTTAAAGCCTCTGCCTTCAGCTCAGGTCATGATCCTGGGGTCCTGGGATCGAGCCCCACATCGGGCTTTCTGCTTAGCGGGGAGCCTGCTTCCCCTTCTCTCTCTCTCTCTGCCTGCCTCTCTGACTACTTGTGATCTCTGTCTGTCAAATAAATAAATAAAATCTTTAAAAAAAAAAAAAAAGAATTCTCTGCATTGTTCCTTTCTATTTTGTATCTTACCATGCCTATATTCATATATTTAGCTTATAGTGAATTTATGTAAAATGAGCTCAGTCAATATACTTGATGTATTTGGAAAGATGTTCACTCCAAACTAGGATGGTCTTAAATGCCTTAAGTAAGCATTTATCTAAATATTGAAGCAACTATAACCAAAATAACATGAAAAACAATTATACTTGTCCTTAAAACTAGAATCTAAACTTTGGTTTTAACTGTTATATGACAGTTCACCTAATCAAATAACAAGCTTTATTTCTCTTTTGTATAATTGAAACCTGAAAATAATATGACTTATTAAACTTTCTTTAGAGTTTGGATTCTGATAAGCCCATGGAACCCGTAAAAAGATCTCCTCTTCATCAGGAAACAAATATGGCCAATTTTTCTTATCGATTCTCCATATACAACTTGAATGGTAAGATGTAACTGGAAACAAAATGTAAAATAGTATATTATATGATGCAGAAGCAATGCAGCTACAGTTCCAAGTAGCTCAATATAAAAACTACATGCATAACTTGAGTGAGTTCTTACATTTCTAGGTTTGTGCATTTTTTACTAATTCAAATGATCACAGAAAAATACCAAACTGGAACATAACTGAAATAGTTTTCTAGTTACTAATAACTGACAAAGTACATACTCAAGTGGTACCCCGTGACAAACTTAACTTTCACTGTTGTATTTTCATTGGAATAAAGTCCAGTGAAATTACTTGTTAGTAAGTTTTAAATCGGCCCCTCTGGCCTTTATTTAATGTATTCTGCCTAATTAACTTTCTAATATTTGGAATTGACATAAAAATCTGTAATTTTTTAGGCTTTACATTTTTCTCTCTAAGCTCCTAGCTCTTTAAGTGTTAACAGCTCTACCAGGGCACTGATCATATTAACAACAGAAAGCCTATGATAAAAAGTTGCATGGGGGATGTGGCTAAAACCCCACAGGACAGTATATGATCTTTGCATTATTTTTAATCTTTCAACTCATAATGTTATCCACTGATTACTACAAATCTTAAAAGATGGACTATTTGCTTTTAAAAATTTCTCTGTTGAATTTAAAACAAAAAACTTCTTAGAAAAAATGTATTCGATAGGCTTTAGGCCCAGTAAGATAAATTTTCTTGCTTCTGCCCTTGCATTCATTGACAGATTTATAAGAGAATGTATGAATTCTGATTCAGTGTATTCTGGAAACATCATGTACGTATTGTTCATTGCAGAAGCTCTGAATCAGGGAGAAACTGTGGATCTGGATGCCCTGATGGCCGATCTTTGCTCCATAGAGCAGGAGCTCAGCAGTATTGGTGCAGGAAATAGTAAGCGTCAAATCACAGAAACAAAAGCCACTCAGAAACTACCTGCTAGCCGACATACATCAAAACATGGCACTTTGAAAGGATTGTCTTCTTCATCTAACAGGATAACGAAACCATCACATGCCAACTACTCCCTGGATGACATCACTGCACAGTTAGAACAGGCTTCCTTGAGCATGGATGAGGCTGCTCGGCAGTCTGTACTAGAAGATACGAAGCCCTCAGTGACTAATCAGCACAGAAGAACAGCGTCAGCAGGCACAGTGAGCGACGCCGAAGTGCGCTCCATTAGCAACTCCTCTCGCTCCAGCATCACCTCCGCGACCTCCAGCATGGACTCTTTGGATATTGATAAAGTAACACGCCCTCAAGAACTGAATTTGACACATCAGGGGCAGCCAATTACCGAGGTAGGTAGATGAAACTTTTTTCCCTGCTATTTTAGTACTTTAAAAAGGAAGGAATGGTATTTTTAATTAACTTATTTTTTCTACATTGAAAATTTGTCAGGATCCTTCTAAACTAAGTTTTAAAGTCACTGAAGAAGGAATATATTACCAGATACAGCAATGTCAATGATTAAGAGAGTTTCTTCATTTTATTCTTAGGCTATTTGAAGCCCTTGAATTAGTATCAGTTGTTTCATATGATTAAAAACTTGAAATGCGGTTTATACTTGATAACATTTTGCAAAGCTGTTGTAATTATTACAGTAGTAACTCCTGTTTAGTGTACGTTTATTATAAAACAACTTGAGAAAAAAATGCCTACCACCGCTATCGTCCTCCAGGATTCTATTTTATTATCGAAGATTCAGGGTACTGTAGTGGAAAGAGCCACTGGGCTTGGAATCAGAAAACTGGGTTCCAGGTGTTCTCTTTGCCACTCACTACCCACCGGGCCTTAAATGAGTGATTCAGCCTCTGCAAACATCAATTTCTCATAAGTAAAATGGGTCTAATAGTACGTGGTCTAATCCTCATATGGTAGTTCAGGTTATCAAAAGTGATAATATATTATGTGAACAGGTTTTTAAAGGACAGAGTTCTTCTGGATGTGATGGGGTGAGGGCAAAGAAATGAATTTGTGTTAAAATAACTAGCAAAAGCTGAGTTTGGTGTAGGTAGATTCTTTATCGAATATTATTGTCAAGAAGGTGGCAATATTGTTACAGGGTAGCAGCAAGAAAGAAGATCAATGTGGGTCAAATAAAGCCAGCCTTCCGTTCAGTTTATGTTTACAGTCCTGTCTACCACAGGGTAAAGTAATCTATTTATGAATGATCAATACTAAGGTAAAATCTTGTAAAACACAGTTTAAAGAATTACAGAGAAATGTAAAATTTACAGCTATTACTCAACATTATTAATTTTTCCCCCCATGGATTTAATTTCATTAGATTAATTTCCACCAGTTAGTAACTCTGTACCCATTAATGTACTCAGTTTATTCTGGGTGCTGTGAAACATAAAAGAAGCATGAATCATGGTGGTTTGGAGATAAATATGAGTTTAACTATGAAGAAAAAGTATATCAATCTAAAAAATAAATTTTCACTTAATATGAAGGTCATCTAAGTGGTATATATTCTGTAGAGAACTTAAAAATTTTTTTCTCATATGATACCTAAGGATTATATTTAACACCAGCTATGTAGTATGTGTCATTTAGGTCTTTCAGATTCACTTGTTGGGATATGAGCAATATTTTTTTAGGGGCGTGCTTTCTTGGTTATTCTTTGTTTCGTATGTTGATATTCCTTCTTTCTTTTCTTTTTTTTTTCTTTTTAAAGATTTTATTTATTTATTTATTTGACAGACAGAGATCACAGGTAGGCAGAGAGGCAGGCAGAGAGAGGAAGTGAAGCAGGCTCCCTGCTGAGCAAAGAGCCTGATGCGGGGCTCGATCCCAGGACCCTGGGATCATGACCTGAGCCGAAGGCAGAGGCTTTAACCCACTGAGCCACCCAGGCGCCCCAATATTCCTTCTTTCTAATCAGATTATTTTGAGTTGGGTCAAGACGCATGAGGTCAGGTGTCCTCTCCCAGCAGACTCTTCAGTTGTGACCTAGTGGTATTCATGGACAAAGATACCAGTGTTATAATGTTTAAAATAAAGTTCGGTAAGTAAACCAGGAATAAAGCAGGAAAGGAGGTGAAATCTTCTTTATCCGTCCTATTCTTTTGTCTTGTTTGGATGAGTAGAAAAGTGGGTTAGCAAACCTGAAGCTTGCTTTAGTGTACTTTTTAATGGATCTGGTCTGTTCTTCAAATCAAGAAAAACAGTTGAGGCTTACTAGATTCCAAACCCATGTATCCAGTTGTCCCTACACTCGAATATAATCTCTAAGAAATATTTTAATTACTTTTGCATGTGTGGAGTTTAAAGAGTCAAAATAGTTCTCTGAGACTTGTTACAGAAAACTTTGCTCTACATGTGCACACACATGCCATATCCTCTCAGAGGTCAGAACTTTCTACTCTTAGCTGATTCTCAGGGTTTTTAACTCTGTGTCATTAAACTATATTTATATTGGTATTTCTTGATATTTTTCAGTTGTATGTGTTATCTACTGACTTCTCACTCTGGAAGATTAGGGTATAGACACCTCTTCTTTAGACAGTTCCTCTCCCTTCTCCCCTTATGCTCTCCTGGCCTCCCAATATATTTTGGTCGGTTTACTGTTCAGTTTTTATATTATCATTACTATGTACATGCATGCAGTTTGGTGCTAAACTATATGTTTTTATTATATTTCCTTTCTGCGACATTACATTTTACTTACCTGGAATTAATAATTGTCTTGAGATTTTAAAATGTATAGGTTTTTGGTATGTTTATCACTGTTTCGATTCCAAACTTTCCCCAGTTGATTAAGTCTCTTAGTTCAAACAATATTAGTGTTCTGTTAATATCATCTTAAAATTCTTTGCTGTCTTTCATAGTCTTTGCTCTAGAATCATTCTTAGGTCTTTTCTCTCAGGTGTGTGAGCTTCTGCAGAGAATACGATTCCTCCATCCTCCTGCATATGTCAGGGCATATGTCAGCTGTGCTTTCGCAGCCCATTGGGGAAAGAAGGCTTGCAGTGTAAGGTGGTCCTCAGTGTTCAGTATGTGAACTTCCATCTAATCCTTTTAGGTCAGGATTTCTCAACATTGACTACTAACATTTTGGGCTAGATAATTCTTTGTTGTGGGAGCTATCTTGTGCCTCGTAAGACATTAGAAGCATCATTGGCATCTCTCTTGTCCACTAATTGCCAGTAGTGTACACACCTCCTTCAGTTGTGACAACTAGAAATGTCTCTAGACATTGCTACATGTTCCCTATATGGCAAAAGTCCCCTGAGAATCACTGCTTTAAGTAGAAAAGATTATTAGCAAGTCTGAACCCGTTTTCTTCATAGAAAATGATCTTGGGTGTTTTCCTTCTCCTGGCATTTATTTTTATTTTATTTTATTTTTTTTTTTACTATAAACTTGACTAATATAGACGGTTTCCAGGTAATATTGTACACTATAAACTGACTCCTGATTAGTGAGTGCATATGGACCAGGAAGACTGTGAGTGAACTTAAAAGAAGCCTATGAAAAGACACAGACCTTTGTTTCCTGGTGTGAAATTTTTCAGTTTTGTAAGTGAACATAAATACATCCCTTGAGGGTTCCTGGAACCTGCACTCATTGGCTGTTAAAATATACTGCTGGTTCCTGTGGAGTATGAAGTTTCCCAAAGCCAAGGTGGTTTCTGTACTTACCGTCATGATTTTTGTGCCTTAGAATGGTGGGGCCAGAAAAGGCTTCTGGTGGCCTGTATATATTCTTTTTAAAGATACCATGTCTCGTGCCAGCATGCTTTATCTTTCTGTGGAACTAAGTGAACTTGGTGCCAAGCTATGGCCTTTTGGGTCCTGTGAGTGACTCTCAGTCTGAACCTGAGACCCCTGTTGGTCTGCGAGTAAAGGAAGCAGTCTGTGAGTGAACTGCTTGCTTAAGTATGCTTTCAACCAATCCTTCTGCTTTTATTCCCACCACCACTTCTATTGAGATGCCCTTCTGCTTTTCTCTAGTGTTGGCTTAACATTCAGCTTTCCTTGGGCCTAAGATGGTTACCACTCAGCCATATCTAACATAACCTCCTTTTCCTGTCTGCAGTCTCTTGACTTTGGTGTGCCCCAAGGTACAGTCCTGACTCCTTTTCTGTCTATATCCACTCTTTTTGTGAGCTTAAGCACTGACAACTCCCACATTTTAATACCCTATTTCATTTCTCTAAGACACACCTTTTCCCCACATTTTAATGCCCCTAAAACAATGGATCTCAGCCAGGAGCTACTTTGTCCCCCAGGGGACATTCAGCAGTATCTGAAAACATTCTTGGTTGTCACTGATAGAAGGACGCTACTGACATCTAGTGGCTGGAGGCTAAGGGTACTGCTGAAAGCCTATGATGCGCAGGGTAGCCGCCTGGCGACCGGTTATCCGATGCTGAATTGGGCCAAAGTTGAGAGACCATGTTTTAGAAATAGGTGGCATCTGTCACTGTTAGCAAAGTGGCAGTTCTGTGTGAAGTTTTCTTTTGACAGTTCCTGATAAAGATCAAGAAAGTACCAGCATTAAGTCATCTTAGAGTCGAAGAAATACAGGTATCTTTTGCCAGTGCCTCTCCCCCGAACTCCAGGTTCATACATCCTGTCTCTAATCAGTATCTCTATTTGGATGTCTAATAGGTAGCTCAGATTTAACTGGTCTAAAACCAAAGCCCTGGTTTCTCCCAAACTAACTCCTCCAAAGTTTCTCCATCTTAGTTAATGGCTCTTCCGTCCCTCCCGTCCAGCAGCAGATTCTGTTGCCTTTACCTTCTGAGTATATCCAGAATTTGATCACTTCTCACCACCTTCACTGCCACCAAGCCGACGTCATCTTGATGTAAATTTTTGCAATAGCCTCCCACTTGGGCATCCTATATTTACCTTCTCCTTTATAGTCTACCATCCATACCGAAGCCAGAGTGGTCCTATTAAAAGTTAGTCAGATATTGCCCCTCCTCTTCTCAAACCCGAAGACTTTGTATCCTATTATAAAACTGAAATCCCTGCAGTAGCCTGCAGGTCCTTACGGGATTTGCTTTCCCCTTACCTCTGCCTCTGTTTTCCTTTCTTTCCTCCTCTTCTTACTTGGCCAGTTACGCTGCCTCCTAGTTCCTTGCCGGACATCTGAGCCAAGTTAGAAAAGTCATTTTGAAGTTGGTAGTGTTCCATCTTCGGGACCTGGGTAAACTGCCCATCTGAAGATGAACTAATACTGTGGCTTACCTTCTTGTCTTGTTGCTCTCTGAAAGCGAACAGGGCTAGGCACGGTACAATTTCACATCAGGAAGAGTAAGTCTTTTTTCCCTGCCTTTCTCTTT